AACAGGGAAACAAAAGAAACATTGTAAACATCTCAGAAAGTATACAGTTCAATTGGGAGAAGGACAAGCTGATTCTGGGATTCAGCTAGAACAAGAATAAAATAAAAGAATCTTCTTGAGTTTCAATTTTGTTTTCGAGAAGGGACCTCAGCTCCACTTTACATCATCGAAGGTAGTCCCAAACACATGAAAAGATAAACTATTTAAACCAATTAGGGAATTTATTTCTATAATTGTTAAACCCAAAAGAGACAAACTGCAGGATTGAGTCTTACCAACAAAAGTCAGAAAGAGGGGTTATGTGCATGAGAGGCTAACAAATATGCATAAAGATGCCTTCTTTCTCTGTAAATATGTCTTACCACCAAAATCATATTTTTTGTAAGTTTTATACATTTGATCCATCTGTTCCTAATCTTCCAAGGAACTAGCTTTTTACATTCTTAAAACCTTGAATTTATGATGTAGCAAACATATTCAAAGAATCTGAGTGCTACGTACAATGAGCTACAGGTTTGGGACTGACATTAATACCAGACCAGCAGTTGACCTAAAATATTCACACCAGTTCTTTGACAAAAAATAGTGCATGAAACTCCCATTTTAGGGTTCTAGAATTTAGGGGAGATGGAGACAACCTTATTCAAAATGAGAAGAAAGGATATTTCCATTGCTAGAATATATTTTTCTTATGCCCCGTCCTTAAGAATCATGTTTTATACTTGAACTTGATATTACTTGAGAGTCCTGTTTTAACTATTTCCTTAAGGTATTTTGCACATATCTATACTTCAAGCTCAAATTAATATCTGCTACATTAATTTACCATTTTTGTTGAACATAGCAAGCTCAGGAATGGATTCAAGAAATAAAAATACCTTAGCTTTTGTTGGAGTAGTAGGTTTAAATGTAGTTGTGCTCCCAAAGCGAAACTTAATAGGCTTTTTATCTACAGGCTTCAATATTTGAAAAGAGCAGACGAGTGACTCATCAACAGTCATCATTGCACCAGCATTGTCAAACTCTCCACAGTAATTAGGAGCCGAGAAGATAGTCACAAGTTGTCTGTAAGCAAAGAATTCATATCCGTCTTCCACAACCTGTAACATGGAACATATATAATCAGCACAATGTACATTTTGAATTCCTAGCATTATAATCACACATCCGAAAACAGTAAGAAACCTGATGGGCCCTGCAAATCAAATCAAGATCATGCTTCTGAAGGAATTCAGTGACCCTGTCAGCACCAAAAGTATAGGAAACTCCACGATCGTTTTCTCCCCAACCCCGAATGTCACTGCTAGGATCAGACCAAAGGAGGTCACATAGTAGACCAGTTTCAGGTACTTCAGTAGGACGCGGCAAACTCTTTATCTGATTGAAATTGTGTAAGTCAGGAGACAGTCCACCATGCATGCAGAGTATTTTTTCATCAATCAGAGCTGCCACTGGCAAGCAGTTGAAACATTCTGTGAACACTTTCCAAAGCCTCACATTGAATCTTCGTTTACACTCATCATAAAATCCATAGATTCGGTTTATAGAAGCACATTCATGGTTGCCCCTCAGAAGAAAGAAGTTATTAGGATATTTTATTTTATAAGCCAGAAGGAGACATATAGTCTCCAAGCTTTGCTTCCCACGATCAACATAGTCCCCTAAAAATAAGTAATTAGAACGAGGAGGCAATCCACCGTAGTCAAAAAGTCGCAGAAGGTCAGAATATTGACCATGGATATCTCCTGGTAACAGAGAAATGAAACAAAATATCAGTTCCAATCTTGAATAACAAAATACAAATTTCATTCAGGACCAAAAATTAAAAAGTCATGCTTGATGGTATCAATGAGATGAAGCTTAATACTTGAAAAGTTGGAAAGAATAGAACTTTAGCTTAGCACACAGGGATTGAAGTATTTTAGCACATGAGATAGACAATTTGTTGTTATAATGCACCTCGATGGCTTTAAACTTGAGACATTGTTGAAAATCAATGAGCGATTGGAATGAACTAGGATTAAAATCATAATTCTGAACTCATCTACAATAGCAGTATTAAATTAGCAATATATACTAGAAACTAGAGGGTTGAAACTAGAAGACAAGAAAGAAGAATGACATATTCCCCTTTCCTTTCACTTTTTTCTTTTCTTTCTTATATTCACTTTTGAAACCTCAGACTCCCAATGGAACGGCGGTTCTTTGATGGTAATCATCATAGGCTGCTCGAAGTCAGAACCAGGCCCGGCAAACAGGTGCAACTTTCTGAGCCTGAAATCAAGCAGCTTTGTCTTGTCTCCAGGGATATCTTCTCCAACCAGCCCAACCTCTTGGAACTCGAGGCACCCCTCAAGATCTGTGGTACTTTTCTTTTTCTTCCACCCGTCAATCACATCTTTCTATTTCTTCCTCAATTTTTATTATCCAATATCGTTCTGAAAAAAAAAAAACAAGTTAACGCTATAGGATGATTCTTTTCTTACAACAGTTATGGTCAAAAGTTGCTTGAGATTATAGGAAAACGAAACGTTGTTATTATTGAATCGGAGATCAGATTTGAAACACTTTTTTCATTCTTATGTTGTTGGGTGTGTATCATCACTGAAATTTTGGTCTTTGAGTGAATCGTGTTGTTTGCGACGCTGCCTCTGTCCTCACTGAAATGGGATAAGGCTTTGTTATTGTTTTTGTTGATAATGTTGTTTTTTATAAGGTTGTTGTTGATAGGTTGTTGTTGTCTTACCTTTCCTAGACCCCTAAATTCTCGTCCATTCATATTTGAATATTAATAGTTGAGTGCCTGGAAATACGAATTTTTATTAGATTCTTTAGATTGATTCATATTTGATCATACTGAAGTAAAAGAATCCCTTGCCCTTGAAAGAAGTATGTTAACTTATTAAACTCGTTTATTTAGGACGTTAAATTGCTCTTCTTACTCTGTTAAAGTGATTGTTTCATAGAAGTTTCGTATACTTTGTTGTGTTGTAGATAATTGATTTGGGTTAGAGGTAGCAACATAGTTGCGATTTCTTCCTCCGTTGTGATGCCTTTCCACGTTTTATTTTTTAGAAGTAGAAGTGTGCTAAATTCAACCGAGGTTTTGTCGTAACCTACTGTATATCTAAGTTTGGATTTATCATAGCATGAATAAGAGTCTTTCTAAGATACTTGGTTATCTCACAAGGAATTTAATAGCAAAAACTTTGGTTATCGTCAATTGTACAGCAAATGTCTCACATATTTTCACATGTATACTGAAACATGAATTTGTTCCCTCTGCAATTCAAGTACCTTAATTTACTACGAGTTGAGAAGCATGTCTGCCGCTAAAGAAATTAACTAATCATAAACCTCACATGTCCTATGGTCCTACCAATGTCCTGCATAACCCATTCAAATTTTACAATACAAAATTAATATGCATTTTGATTATATGTCATACAAAAGATTAACAGGGTTATAGAGTATCCAGACCATCTAATATTATCTTCCCTGGTATATATTTAATCAGAGTCTGATTTACCACAAGGAGAGCTATTGACCTAATGTTTTTTTCTTGCACTCACTAAAAAACAGTATGGTAACATGACAGGTATATAGAATACTTCTTTGAATTTTTGTTAGTTGTTATCTTAATTGGTAGTGGTAATATTTGCAAAAATCTATTGGATTCAAACTTCTTTATAAGACATTTAAGATGTAGACAAGCAAGAAGTTGTGTTATCAATATGTTACAATGAATGATACACACTGATCTGGCGATTTCCAATATACTTACATATTGTTGGGACAAAGTTTTCTCTTTCACATTGTTGCCTTGAGTCAATCATTCTTCCCTCTGCTTTCCCTTTACATTTGCCTTTTCCCTTCTTCACTATGCTGTGGGGAAGAAGATTACTTGTATCCTTACTGAACGAGTTTTTTTAAATTGTAACAGTACATGGAAATATCCAAAATAACTTCTATACTTGTCTTCCAAGATTAGTTTTCCCTTATTTATCGAAATATTTTTGCTTTAAGCACTTAGAATTTTGCATGATTTCTCCG